CATACCATGATAAAGGAAATTTCAGAAAATAAATATTAGCTCTTAGAGGAGGTAGCACATTCCATGCATCTCTAGAGCTGTTATGATTTTGCACGTTCAGTGCTTCCTTAAAAATCCTGTTCTGCTTCAGAGAACAGCAAAGCTGTTGACTTCACGAGAGTCCAGATTTTGACCCTGAGGAGCCGGTGGAGGCAGCGATCATTCTATGAACAAGACGTCAGAAACAAAGTGCCGACAAAGCTCTTTTATGTAGACTTGCCCTTCCTTCTTCTGAAGTCAGAATCTTCCTGGAAAAATCCTCTATGCCTGTTCTTGGCACACGGGGACTGTGATGGTGATCTGCTAGTAGGAACAGGGGCCTGACGAAAATCCTGAGACGAAAACACTGTCCCAGCTAAGCCCAAGCTTGTAACTCGACCACAGATACTGCTTTTCTGTGTTACTTTGATTTTCTTCGTGACCTTCCAAGCCACAATAGTTGCTTCCTTATTTTTCAGAATCTTTCTCTTTCTGAGTGGATCTTCGGTAGAAACGAACATCACATCGCATATTGCACTGACACAGGATACCCCTGGTGATCTCAAATTAGTAATTAAGGATTGTGGCAGCCTCTTTGGGGGCTTTAAAATCAACCTGCGGAAGGGGTGAGTGTGAGGAATATTCAACAACGCTGTGCTAATTTAACATGTTTTACAGCTGCTCATTCAGAAATCCCCAGGCGAGGAGGGGCTTGCAAGGACAGAGCTATAGCGCGCAGGAGCGGAGTCCAGTGTCCAGGGCTCACGTTCCACTTGACTTTGGCCATCAGCGTAGGGACGAATTTCCCACTGGTTGCAGGATTGTCCCTTTCTTGCTTTCCTAGGGGAATCGGCCCATGGAGCAGCCCAGCTGGGCTCTAATTTCCAGATTTCAGCCTGTACAGCACATCAAAGAGCAGGTTAATTCAAAGAAAATCTCAGTGGCAGCATGCACAGCTCCATTATCCAGTGATGAGGAAATCACGGAGTTTTCTCATAGAAAAGTCACTTTTTTGAGATACCTGAAAGGGAATTGGATATCGGTATACCCTATGGAAATATTTAAAATAATGTGCAGAAGTAGCTGTGGGTCAGCTCTTTGCATGTTTGCAGTGGGGCAAAACCTCAGTCTCAAATCTGAGCACAGGTTTACATGCTAACAATCGGATTTTAATAAACAGGCATTAAAAGTCCTGAGCATCTATAATTCCTGCTAAAGCCTGGGGGAGCTATAAGCTTGCAGCTACTTTTAACATCAGAGATAATGGAAGACGCTGTGCGCTGGTCTTCGGGGCTCACAGTATCACAAACCAGCAGAACATTTCAGATTCATTTGGTTCTGAGACCTCCGTTTTGATAACCTCACTGATATTAGTGTGATTTTTCTCTTGCTTTTTCTTTTTTCCTTTCTAGCCTCTTCACCAATATAGTGGGTGGTTTGGTGAACTCTTCTCTTCGGTCTTTCCTGCCTGCGCTGGTGAGTTTGGGCAAAACCCCTTCACTGTGAGACACTGCAGTTTAACTGGAGTTACTGCTCTTTCCATAATGCTCTAGCATATACATACATACATATATATGTGTGTGTGTGTATAAAATATATATATACATATGTATATATGCATGCACAGACACACACCTACATCCCATAACTGAATTCTGCAAACTTCCTTGATCTTTCTTACAGTCAGGATTTATTTGTTAAAAGTAATTCAAATTCCATCATGCAATGTTACGGGATAATTTGTAACCAATTGCTTTCTGAAATGCTTTTTTGCACTGAGAAGGTACGGTAAACAGAAGTGACAGCATCACTTAGAAAAAAAAGGTGCTTGTTAGAAAATCTTTTATTGTGTTAAATAGAACCGGTGCCATTTTGAGACGTGGGCTGAACAATTTATATTGCTCTTTTTCCGTGGAGGAAACTATGCCCTAGGAGCTGATTGTTCCATCTTGATTTAAAGTCTGTGAAACTCAAATGACGTTAGTGAAACGTGCGGCCGCAGCTGCAGTACGCTCACCGACGTTGTTCCCCTTGTTACCGTTGCAGTTTTGCCCATTAGTGAATATTTGGTTCGGCATCATCAATATTCAGCTACAGTTTCTCGACCGTAAGTTGCTAACTTTTCTTTTCTATATTGATTTTGATAGCGACGCTTGAGTTTTATGTGCCTCGCCCCCTCCACAGGCGTCGGATGTCCTCAATAGATGGGGCGCCGCGGACCCGCGGGAGAGGAGCAGCTCCGG